CAAAAGGGACATAGTACCTTTAAAGTATCTCACCCGTCTACATATCAAGCACTATATATATTTTTTTAATTTATATAGGCGACAGAAGGGGATCGCAACTGTTCATTTCAGTTCATCCTCGTGAAGCAATTGCTTATACATAAACCCACCGATCGGAAATAATAAATCTCTTAAAGGTTTTATTTGAACCCCATGATCTCTTTTTCAGCCAACATGAAAGTCTGAAGAACTTTGCAGGAATTGTGAATATGTCACGTATGTCCTATCTGTCAGCAGGGTCCTATAGAATTCAAATTATGCAAGGAAACCTGTTTACTTTTAAGACTTGACCGTCAGACGCTATTGAATGAATGATTGACTTGCTTTGGTAATAAATAGAGCTGTAAGGGGTACATGAGCATTACATGCAGGCACGGATCCAGGATTTCTTAGGGGGGGGGGCAATTTGAAATCATGCGAGCCAAATATTGGTACGTTATGGTGACCAGCAGTGGCGTAATTGGGACGGGGTGGGTGCAAGTAGGGGCGAGTTTACCCCCTCCCCCCTCCGCGAAGCGCGGAAGCTTTGACATTTCAAAAATTATTAGAGAAAGAAGACGATTCGTTGTACCGTTATCGACTCTTAATCTTCGTCTAACTTCAGTTCCCCCCCCCCCCCGTGCGAAGCGCGGAAGCTTTGACATTTCAAAAAATTATTAGAGAAAGAAGACGATTCGTTGTACCGTTATCGACTCTTAATCTTCGTCTAACTTCAGTTCCCCCCCCCCCCCGTGCGAAGCGCGGAAGCTTTTACGTTTCATTAAATCATTAGAGAAAGAAGACGATTCGTTGTACCGTTCTCGACTCTTAATCCTTGTCTAAATTCAGTCCCCCTCCCCCACCTCCCGCGCGAAGCGCGGAAGCTTCGACGTTTCATTAAATTATTAGAGAAAGAAGACGATTCGTTGTACCGCTCTCGAAGATAATCCTCGTCTGAATTTATTTTCTTCCTCCTGCGCGAAGCGCGGAAGCTTTTACGTTTCATTAAATCATTAGAGAAAGAAGACGATTCGTTGTACCGTTCTCGACTCTTAATCCTTGTCTAAATTCAGTTCCCCCCTCCCGTGCGAAGCGCGGAAGTTTCGACGTTTCATTTAATTTTTAGAGAAAGAAGACGATTCGTTGTACCGCTCTCGAAAATATTCTTCGTCTGATTTCAGTTTCCCCCTCCCGCGCTCCCTCGCTACGCGTTTTTTGGGGGACCCCACCCCACCGCCCCCCCCCCCCCCCCCCCCCCCCCCCCCCCGCCCTGGCTACGCGCCTGCAGTCAGATGAACTTATGTTGATACCTTGTCTTCCCCCGGAAGTTCAGGGGTTTTAGGCATTTAATTACGGTCAGATGAGCATTATTTTGATACCTAATTGTGACATTTGCAGGTCACTAATTGGCGTGGGGTTCAGGGGGCGGAGCCCCCGGAAACTCAAGGGTTTTAGGCACTCAATTATGGTCAGATGAGTATCAAGGGGCCCGCCTTAGGGCCCCAGGTGGAATCCGGGGGGCTGAGCCCTCGTGGTTTCAGGCCTTTAATTTAATCATGGTCAGATGAGCATATTTTGATACATCATTATAATGTGACACTGGCAGTTAACTATTTTTTCTTTCTTGCTCTCTTTCTTTCTATTTCTCTTTAATATACTTTTTCAAAAAAAGTGGTGGGGGGGGGGGCTCGAGGATCCCGCCGTTCCGCGGGCCCTGACATGTAGGCATCTCAAGTAGCATTTTCTTGCCTGGCTGTAAATTTAGGAATTTGTCATTTTCCAACAAACGCATACAAAAGTACAATTTACTTAAAAGTGATGAAAAATCTCGGAAAATTATGTCATTTCAGCATTATTTGTAAACCACCGTTATGGAATTAGAAATAAACCACGTTTGAATTTTATTTCCCCAAAGCCCCCCCCCCCCCCCCCCTATCATTACGCCAGTTCTCCCCCCCCCCCCCCCCCCCGATTTACACCTTGTTGACGAGAAAATTACAACTGATATCCCTTACCTTTCTTCATTCTCTATTTGCTCTTTCCCTTTCTCTCCTCTTTCCCTTTCCCTTCCCTTCTCTCTCTTTTAAGTTTGCCTGGGGGGGGGGGGCGGGGCAAGGTCATTTTGGCCCCCACTCCGCTCCACACATTGTCGACTGATCTCTCCTTCTTTTCTCCCTTTTCTTTTCTTCTTCCTCTTTTTTGTTCCCTTTTAGCTCTCCTCTTTTCCTTTTCCTTCCTTCTCTTTTTTTTTAACGCGGGGACGGGGGGGGGGGGAGGCAAGGGCCTTTTGCCTCCAACCCCCCCCCCCCCGATCGGGAAAATTGCAACTGATATCCCCCTTCTTTTCTTTTCTTCTTCCTCTTTTTTCCTTCCCTTTATCTCATCTTTTCCTTTTTTCTTTCCCTTTCCTTCCTTCTCTTTTATTTTTTGATTGGGGGAGGGGGCAGCAGCCTGGGAGGCAATTCCTTTTGCCCCCCCCCCGATCTCCTTCTTCCCTCTTTTTTTTTCTTCTTCCTCTTTTTTTCCCTTTTTCTCCTCTTTCCCTTTCCCTTCTTTTCCTTTTCTTTCTCTCCTTTTTTTCGGGGGGGGGGGGCAAGGCCCGCTCGCCCCCCTGGATCCACGCCTCTCTACATGTACTAAATTTAAATCTAAAATTAACTATTCCAGTTTATCCATAGACACTGTACATGGCGCTAGGGTGGTGAAAAGTTAGCGTATGGTGGTGAAAAGTTAATATTCTAGTGTACCCATAGACAATGCACATGGCGCTAGGGTGGTGAAAAGTTTGTGTAGGGTGGTGAAAAATTAATATTCCAGTTTATCCATAGACACTGTACATGGCGCTAGGGTGGTGAAAAGTTAGCGTAGGGTGGTGAAGAGTTAATATGCCAGCTTATCCATAGACAATGTACATAACGGAAGGGTGGTGAAAAGTTAGCGTAGGGTGGTGAAGAGTTAATAATCCATAGACAATGTACATGACGGTAGGGTGGTGACACGTTAGCGTAGGGTGGTGAAGAGTTAATAATCCATAGACACTGTACATGGAGCTAGGGTGGTGAAAAGTTAGCGTAGGGTGGTGAAGAGTTAATATTCCAGCTTATCCATAGACAATGCACATGACGGTAGGGTGGTGAAAAGTTAGCCTAGGGTGGTGAAGAGTTAATATTACCATTTGTCCATAGACAATGTACATGACGCTAGGGTGGTGAAAAGTTAGCGTAGGGTGGTGAAGAGTTAATATGCCAGCTTATCCATAGACAATGTACATAACGGAAGGGTGGTGAAAAGTTAGCGTAGGGTGGTGAAGAGTTAATAATCCATAGACACTGTACATGGCGCTAGGGTGGTGAAAAGTTAGCGTAGGGTGGTGAAGAGTTGATATTCCACTTTATCCATTGACAATGTACATGACGCTAGGGTGGTGAAAAGTTAGCGTGGGGTGGTGAAGAGTTAATATGCCAGCTTATCCATAGACAATGTACATAACGAAAGGGTGGTGAAAAGTTAGCGTAGGGTGGTGAAGAGTTAATAATCCACAATGTACATGACGGCAGGGTGGTGAAAAGTTAGCGTAGGGTGGTGAAGAGTTAATATTCCAGCCTATCCATAGACAATGTACATGGCGCTAGGGTGGTGAAAAGTTAGCGTAGGGTGGTGAAGAGTTAATATTCCAGCTTATCCATAGACAATGCACATGACGGTAGGGTGTTGAAAAGTTAGCGTAGGGTAGTGAAGAGTTAATATTCCAGCTTATCCATAGACAATGTACATGCATGGCGCTAGGGTGGTGAAAAGTTAGCGTAGGGTGGTGAAGAGTTAATATTCCAGCTTATCCATAGATAATGTACATGACGGAAGGGTGGTGAAAAGTTAGCGTATAGGGTGGTGAAGAGTTAATATTCCACTTTATCCATAATTGACAATTTACATGATGCTAGGGTGGTGAAAAGTTGAGATCGTGAAAAATTATATCCATAGAAAATATGTACATGACGGTGACATAATGGTGAATAGTTTATGTGATTTGGTATTTAAAGAGTCAATGCCCCCTTTCCCAGAGAAAAGGCATATATATGCATGACATGCTTATAATTATGGTGCGGGGATATATTGCAATTCGAAAGAAGATAATAACGTTTTAATTTCTAACATAAATGAGGTGAGGTCTTAGTATAATTCTTTGATTTGCCCCTAAGTACTGCGCTTTACCCCCCCCCCCCCCCCCCCCCCCTCCATCATCTACTCTCATTATATCCGATCACCATGCCTATTTTAATTGGTAGCCAGCCCGGTGGGGTCACTCAATGTGACTTCCGGACCGCATGACCGTTACCACAAAGGCATATAACCCCCTTTTGCGGTCAATTTCAAGGACATTTTGTGAAATTTAACCCCCTTTTTTACGTCAAAACAAGGACAAAATCGTACTTTGGAATACCCCTATTTATAAGATTGTAAGGACACTTTTGCAAATTTACCCCTATTTTACCATATTTCAAGGACAAGACTCGGCTCCGAGAATTTTTCTTCCTGGTTTTCTCTTTTCCCTTCCCGGTTTTCTCTTTTCCCTTTTCCTGACCCCTATTTATCAATTTCGAGGACACCTGTGCACCCCTATTTTCTTTATTTCGAGGAATATTTTGTCCGCGGACATTGCTTGAAATTGACCCCTTTTTCCGCGATTTTGGTAACGGTCATGCGGTCCGGAAGTCACATTGAGTGACCCCACCGGGGTAGCCAGCCATCGTTGCACTGATCATGCCTGATGGATACAATACACAAAGAATATATTGCGTGTGTGTAGTATAGCGGTTGTACGTGTACAATGCGATCCTTACACTTATCAAATTGGCATTTTTTATACATAAGATGGGCTACCTTCATCTCCGATTAGGTGTGTGAAGAAAAGCTTCACCCGTGCAGTGGGTGGTACAGGTCCGCGTGATGTCAGGTGATGTCATGCAACAAGGCATTGCCATACACTGTACATTGGATGTCTGGATGCGATGTCGACTGATAGAGCTGCGCTGGTGTTTGATCTTAGTTAAATTGTGTAGCGACGACGTCGACGGCGACAAAGATTTGACTCTGAAAAAGGTACTGGGCTAGCTGTCATTCATTCTTCCAAACAATAGTAAAACTAAGACTCTTAAAGGCATCGTTTAACAATGTTTAATCTGAGATGCACGGCCCTACGTGTTATCAATATCATCAGTGTCTGTGCAGTGTTAAGCCCTGGCCTAGGCCTTGAGTCTATAATTATGGTGTAGAGTATATAAAGACCGCCAAACTTCGGACACTTAAGACAAAACGGGGGAAAACATTAAATTCATTTTTTAATTATTGAAAGATCAAATATACTATTACTGTGCAAATACTGTTTATGTAGACTATGTCATGAAAAGAAAATTAGTAAAGGAAATGGAAAACTAGAATTAGGGTCTATTTACTTACCCGCCGAACCTGTTTTCATGCCAAGCTTCGGACGTTCATGTGAAGCGCACGTATATCGCACGTATAGCACGCATTCATCGGAGGTTTGGAAACTGGATCAAAATTGTACGACGGGGGTAAGTGTGACTGCGATGATTTCATGAAAAAAAGTATTATTTTCTCGTTTTGGGTAGATTTGAGTAAGTCTAGATCTAGGTAGGGAGGCCAATGCCCGGGCGTAAGGCTTCTACACCTACGATTTGTGCGCTCGTCGCCCACTTCAAAAAAATAGCAAAGGGAAAAAAAATGATGTAAAAATAAAAATTGAAGAAAATAAGAAAAGAAAATACAATTATACATTTCACAACATACCTATAATCACGGATCTGTAACAGTCTTTCACCATTTGTTGACAATCTTGCAGATTTTGACGTTTTTTAATCCAATAATTGTGGTTGCAGACGACCTTGACGCACTCGCACCACCGACTAAGAAAATCCTGGAGGGCGTAGAGGTTTGCTCACTAAAAACCTTCTCATTGGCAGAAGGTAGACCCTAAAAATATGGGATCCGTTTTGAGTAAAGAACTTTTGATAGAGATCAACATTTCAGATGTTCACAATTGCCACTTCTAACAACTAGAAAATATAAAGAAAAAAGATTATATCTTTTTAAATACAGATTTTTACAAACTGAACATTCGAAAGTAGATAGAGTACGATGTTTCTGTCAATCTTGCGTTGGTTTGAGCCCTATAGCTACATCCATCTCAAAATGAGAAGGAAAACAGTGAACAGTGACGTCATTGTTCGCGCCAAAAATAAAGGGTATTGCGACATAATCTGAGCTCCGGTCAGATCGTGCGCAAAGCGTAGTCTTATTTATAGACCCTAGTACCTTATTCTCACAGCACTAGATACGAGTGTCGTGCAGTAATGTATGAGAAGTGCTAAAAAAGATATTTCAGTAAAAAAAAAAAGTCTACGTGAGCAGTCTATACTCCAATTGAGAATTGAAATGAAAGCCATGATTTGAAGGTGTGTGTTGTATGATACATGGTTAGTGAGTGTGTATGTTACGTATAGCGAAAGGGAGAGAGAGAGAGAGAGAGAGTGAGAGAAATATTAGTACACGTACGTTGCATGCATGGATGTGAATTGGACCTCGTAACTTCTCGATCATTGATAATAAGGAATACTCACGAGGAAATCAAATTATTGGAATACACATCTAAGGTAAATATCAATGAATTATATATATTTCTTTCCTGCCAATTTGATATCTATTCTTCATTTTTGAACCATCGTCTTCGGCTCGTAGTAGTAGAAGATGTAATCGTTCGCACATTGATGGCTGGACTGCAGCCTGCATCGGGGCTTGCCTGTGTCGGTGGAGGGATCAACTAAGAAGAAGAAGGTGTGTACGTGTGCGACCGATTCAAGGCTAGCCGCTGTTGAGTGATTGCACTTTCGCGCGAAGTTTTAAACTTCATCATGAACTTTGTCCCTCGGGCCTGTCTAATTATGAACGTAACTTTGCGACATGAAATATAATTGTTTCAAGGCTCTTACGTACGGAAAGGCGTAGAAGGAAGCTGGATAAAAAGAGCTGGATATCTCCTATTTGATGGAACTTCTGGAGTCGGCAGATGGGTGGATTTTCTTAGTGAAAGTAAATGCTTTCTTTTAATCTTAGTTTTAGTATAAACAAATTAGTAATTAAAAAGTTAGATTTGGGCATTGGCCTCCCTAATCTACATTGTAGGTAGAACTATCAGAAAGGTGTTTTTCACAACACTCGTACAATATTTTGGTGCTAAAATCTTACGAAAGCGCTATTTTTTTCGTAGTCGAAATGACACTCAATGTTGCCTGTCCGAAGCTTGGAAGAGCCCCATCTTCTGGTAGGGGAATCTAACTAGTACCCCTAGGTCCGTGGTAATGGCCGCCATTAGAAATTTTTCGCGATAGAGTGAAAAAGTATCTCATAAGCTCCCATAATTTGGGCAGAAACCACCCGAAATATGCCAAGGATTTGTTTTTAATCGATATATTGGAGGCTCTACACCTTAACTCCCCTGTTAAGGAACTGTAAAAATCTACAACCTGAAATTTGTCTCTGAATTCAATGTTTTTTGTGAGTTTTGCAGACGGCAACCTGCCCTAACTTTTTGTACTAACGATATAGGTTAGTAGAAGTATCAAATGCATGCAAGTTACCCGCCTGAGCTAGGCTCATATTTTGCGTTCGAGCCGTTGAAGTAATTTTTGTCCGAAGCTTGGCAACGTCCGAAGTTTGGCGGTTTTACTCTAGATCTAGACTAATTGAAGCCCTAAAAAAAATTGTCCTTCAAAATGATCAAGAAGTGCATCAAAAGAAATAAAAAAATTGAGTGACCTGTTTTACCATAATCGTTTCCCCCAATAGACTGTAGTGTTGTGAAAACCGTTTGGCAGACGGTTTTTAAAATTTGTAATTCCAATCATAAATATCTTGATAATCAGACAGGCGATTGGCTTGTTAAAATTATGGGGTTCCTGACTGACCTAAAGGTTTATAACTATGATTGCAGCATGAGCTAAATCCAGGATTTTGTTTCAGAATCTGAGACAAAGTTACTGGATCCCTTAACTGCTTAAAGACATAAGAGACTAAAGAGTGGAAAACTGGAAACGATTCTCGATCTTACAGTGTAGTTTTTAGCTGCATTGACCTGGCTGTGTATTAAAAGCTGTGCTATTGATTCTCAACATTTCAAACACCACTGTACAAAACTTAACTTATTTCACTCAAAATCGGTACTTTACTGACAATTGATGACACATAAATAGCAGTAAAATATAATTGTTTCAACTTATCAATGTTAAAAAGAATAATTTCAAAATTCAAATTGTAAGTCTACTGTAGTACTGACTACTAGCTACTATCAAACTCACTGATCAGCCACATCGTGTTTATTGCGTGCATTTGTGTGTTGTGTGTGTATTGATGATTTGTGCCTGCAATTGCTGCCTATTAGCCCGTTTGCAGCGCTAGAGGTCAATACGCATTAGCATTGACTCTCTATGCTTTGCTGGAGTGGTTTTAACTGGAGTTCTAGACCTATAGATCTAGACCACTCCAGCTCCAGCAAAGCTAGACCAAAGTTTCTGTCTCTTTCGTTCTTTAGCCTCTGATTTGAGTAGGGTCGGAGCTGACCCTACCCAAATCAGAGGCTTACGAATGAAAGAAACAGAAACTTGGTCTACAGCAAAGCTAGAGCTGAGAGTCGATGCTTCCAATTTGTCCCAAATAGTAATTTTTCAGAGCAACCTTACAGCTTATCTGTACTAGTTTACAGGAGGGATTAGACTGCCCTGCAAGGTCACTGGACAGGTGGTTATCTCATCAACTCAGCTCTCAGTTAACATAAGAAAAAGATGATCATGGCCATGGGGGACCAATGGTCACCGATTACGATTAGGCATTGTTTGTTATATAGAGGGCGCAAGTAGCTACAAGTAGTGCAGTGGGCCATTAGAATAGTTGAAATATATCTGGTCACATGATCGTGATCAATCAAAACCCAATCATTTTTTTATGCAGGTTCCTAGGCATTAAGTTCCTAATGTTAAGCAATACAACACATTACAACTCTCTAGTTTCTGTTTAATTTTTCTTCAATTTATATATTTCTTATTTAGCCAGGTCACTATAGAAAGACTTCGACATTCACCGGTGTCTAACGATGGGTCATTGGTCACTCATCGCTTTGGTGGTCAGCTGTTGTGTCTCTGCAGTTCTGTCCGATATTCAAAACCAGCTAGACAATGCTATCAGAATGCCAGAAGCAGAGGTATTTAAACTTTCGCATTTTATAGGTCTTTGTGAGTTCGTACAGGAAAAATAGGTTTAATGATTTTATTTCTATCCTTCTCTCTGTTTATCGCCGAATAACCAACTCAGTCAGTAGAACTGTTTTCCGATGGCCAATGTGCAGTTCTTCCCCAAGTGGGGTATTCAATAAAAAGAAGAAGGAAAAGGAGATGGAGAAAAAGAAGAGGAAGAAGAACGTTGTTTTTAAAAAAAAATTATTGCCGGTTTCATTGAGAGTTGGCTTGATCTTTGAACTCTTGAACGATGTAAAAAACTTTAGTTTCCAATTCATAGCTTTTTAGAAGATACTGTTATTGTAAGTGAACGTCATAGTAAATATGAGATGTATATTTCTGTTTGTTATGAAATCTTTAGCAATCCAGCGCATCAACACGGCCACCGTTTATTGATAAAGCAAGACGAGCAAGGTACATGGTCCATAAGGTAAGTTTACATACCCCTGATATAATGCCCCTGGCAATATTAGGGAATTATTATTCATTTATTTTATTTAAAAAAACAAAAAACATAAAGTCTCTCTGTGATGCCCCTCTATCAATAATTTGATAGACTTGTTAGAAACAAATTTCCAATGTTAACTAATGACTTAAGAAGTATGCTGAACATATCTCGCTCTTCTCTTCTCTATTCGTTTTCTTACCTTCTCTCTATTACTTACAGTGCATAAGGACATATTTTTCATATGGATATTATTATTGATGATATGGAGGCAGGAATCAGGGATGGGAATGGTACGGTGTATTGATGCAATGAATGTGGGCCATATTTCAAACAGAATATTCTCACATCTAAATGTGTACATGTGTAAATGCTCTCTTGGGTTTTTTGTACCATCAATGGATGTAAACTTTCAGGGTCTCTGTCATGGGGTTTGGGGGAAATTGGAGAGAGGGGGGGGGGGGTTAATTTCAGGGTATGGTGAAAGAAAAAAGTATTACCACTAATTACCATGGAAGCTCATTTTAGAGAATACTTCTATAACAAACACTAGCCATACAAATGGAATCTGCTGGTCACCTTTCTCTGTAGTGTATTTTATTATTTTTTCGCACTGGTATCGCACTGGTATACCCTACATGATTGTGTACCTGAACAGCAAAATCTGTATACCGGTAGCTCAAAGGGAGACACACAAAGGAGGTGGTCCTTATGTACAGGATCTTAATGTACACATTTCTGTAGCAAACACTATTCAAGGTAAAAAGAAATTGTGATTTTGATATATAGACGTGTGGTCTTCTTTACAGGTAAAAGTAGGTTTCATGATATGATTAATACTATGATTGCCTAGCTGTCAACCATTCCTATTTTGGAGGAATCTTTCCTATTTGGGGGGCCTTCAAGCTATTGTTTTGAACCCTAGATTCCTATATTTTTTTTGGAATATGCTGTGTGAAAAATATTGAAATAGACTGTATTCCTAATTTGCCTTGAGAGATTTTTCATTTTTGCTGTGAAAGGTAGGCAGGTGTGTGATTGTATTATTAGTAGGCTATGATACTACTGATAATTAATATTAAAGGGATCGGCTAACTTTGTCTCAGATTCTAAAACAAAATCCTGGATTTAGCTCATACTGCAATGATAATTATAAACCTTTAGTCAGGAACCCCATGACTTTTACAGGCTGATCCCCTGTCTGATTTTCAAGATATTCATGATGGAAAACCAAAATTTCATTCTGCGTTTTCCTAACGGTTTTGATAGCACTACAGTCTATTGGGGAAAACGAGTATGATAAATCCGGTCACTCAAAGATTTTTACTTTTTTGAGGCACTTCTTGATCGTTTTGAAGCACAATTTTTTTAGGGCTTCAATATTACACCATATCACAGACACTGTTAACACCTAGGGCTGTTCATCTCAGATTTAACATTGTTAAACGATGCCTTTAATCAGTATATTATTGATACAACAGTATTTATAAACCAGTATGTATGTGTATATTTAGGCTAACTGGACAGTCATAGCGACGTTCTCCACCAAGCCTGAGATCCTGGGACGCTCTTTCCCAGCTCCCACGTCCATCTCGGACGGTGCGCTTGGCAAAAGCTCCGGCACACCTTACTTCTACCTGGCGGAGATCGACAGCACCATGCAAGATGTCGCCAAGAACCCCAACGTGACGTTGAGCTTCAGCGAGGCCGAGTTCAGCGATGTCGCAGACTGTGCCGTTTCTTCTTCGTCTGATCCAGAGAACCCTCTCTGTGCAAGGTTGATGCTTTTCGGTAAATAAGATTTATTTTCTTTTTCTTTGTTTCTCGCTTGTTTTTATTCTGCAACCAAATGTTGTGCAGGAGGCATTATTAAAGATCACGTTGAGTTCTGGGTGGTGTTTCACAAAGACTAAGAATAAAAGACTTAAATTGGACTTGAACTATGACAGGCCATTCATGCCATTGGTTGCTCTCATGGTCTCACCATTAGTCTCTCAAGGGACGTTATAAATCTACAGAATTTGCGATAGTTCGTTGTTTTACAAAAAAAAGTTACATACATTGTAAAGTTAGGTTATATTTAAGACTAAAATTATTCTACAGTATGCGATTTATGACTTTAAAAAGCCTTGAACCAAATGTAAAATTAGAGGGAAAAAATATTCAAAATTTTTCCTTAAATAATGAACTAACAAAAAAAGTAAATTATGAGGATTTGTGATCAGGATTTGTACATCGATCCCTTAAGAGACCAATGCCAGGAATGGTGAGAGCAAACAGTGGCATGAACTGCCTGCCATATAAGTCCAACTTAAATTCGATCTTAGTCTTTGTGAAACACCCCCCAGGCCATGCTATTTCATTGTGAAAGAAACCATCTGGATGCAATTTGGGAAGGTTGATTATGTAACATAAGAATTTGTGTATATTCCGTCAGGTTTTAGAATCAACAAAACATTACAACGAGAAAGTGACTCAATAGGCCCGTCATCACTATCTCGAGATTGCCAAATATCCAGCTATTTGAACTATCCCGATCGCAAACTATCCAGCTATTTGCGTCTTCATTAGAACGAAGTAGCAAATTAGCTGGATAGTTGGTCGGGATAATATCCCAAGATATCTCGGTCTAGTTTGCAAAATATCCCACTATTTCCGAACTAGCGGGATAGTTTGCGACCGTCTTCATTAGACCGAAGTCCGGAGTCAAATATCCCGATCCCATCATGCACAACGATTTCCGGTTCGCACATGCGATCTATACCGCTCAGCGCGCTAGTACAACCACTGACCTCGAGTAAGCACGGAAAACCGCAAACTAGACTGAGATATCTTGGGATATTATCCCGACCAACTATCCAGCTAATTTGCTACTTCGTTCTAATGAAGACGCAAATTAGCTGGATAGTTTGCGATCGGGATAGTTCAAATAGCTGGATATTTGACAATCTCGAGATAGTGCAGACACGCCTCATCTTGCTGAAAAATACATGAACTGCACACAGGAATTTATATATGGGACTACACATACCGGTGGCGTGAATGTTAGGTCCAAAATTTCCAGCTGTGTCTTGTATTTTGATAATATGTGCATTTGAATAGCCACCCTTGTACGATTGATCACCGTGAAATGTAGGAGTGCAATTGTGCTGGCCTTAACTTTATTCCTGGTACGGGGAGGGGGAGCTGGAAGGATATTATCTCGTTTTTGTTTCTTTTATTTTCTGTCATAGATGTAGCGTTTTCAATTACAGTGATATATCCACTTTCCTCTAGGTAAACTGGTTCACGTTACTGACCCCAAGGAAAATGCGTTTGCAAAAGAGGCCCTCTTCTCTCGTCACCCTCTCATGCCCAGCTGGCCCAGCGGTCACAACTTTAGCTTCAAGAAACTGATCATCACCGACGTCTGGATCTTAGACTTCTACGGTGGAGGATCATCTCTTTCGGTTGAAGACTACTACAAAGCTACACCATAATCATAGCTCAACACCAACAATGGCCTGCAACACATAGGCGATAATGCTAAGACCCCAATATTAATTTTTTTTTTTAGCATAGGGCGACTGCATACATACTCAAGAAATTGTTTGCAATTAGTGAAAAATATTGTTAAGACATGATACTCAGTACTTCATATGTGCTAATTTAGAACACGATGTAAGGTGACAAAGAGGTACAGATAACACAGAAGCAGCTGGGATGGGAAGTGACATGTCCTACTTGGTACATGCTTTCAATATATAAAATGGGGTACTGGTACGTGTTTAATAGAGAGCATCCTATTGGTTGAAAAGCTATCATGTGACACTAAACATATGGTAATACTCCCCTCCAGAGCGTGTAATATACATGTAGCAACTATTTGTTGGTTTTTTCACGCTATATTGGTCAAAAAGTTTGTCACATAATTATCCAAGCAATTGTATTTGTGGTTATTGATGCGTGCATTTGTGTTAGAGGGCTGGATGCCTCTTAAAATAACCAAGGCCTGACAAATAGCAGTCACAAATGTCCTTATGTTATATAATATTGAATGCATATCACTGTTTTATATCACAAAAATGTAAAGTTATTTGCTCTTCCAGCCCGTCGTTTGTATATGATAAAGTCAAAACTTTTCTGTACGATTATCAAAATGCTTTTGATGTCTCTGTTTATGTACATGTACAAGTCAAATAAGGAAAGTGCACTGATATTACATGTTGTTTAAGATGTATGATGGGGCATGGGGATGTATTAACAATATGTGAGTAAATTGAATGCTGGGGACTTGCCTGCCATAGCAGTAACTCCTGGATTCCTGCTAAGGATGAAGTATTGTGATGAAAGAAGGGAAAGGTCACCCTGAGATGAAGTTGATTTGTACTGGTGCAAAAAACAAACCAATAATAATGTCAGATTGGACTTCCTATTGGGCATTAGCTCAATACTAGAATACTAGAATGAGAAGTTTATACGATAGAAAATGTTAAAGAGCAATCCAGCCCTTGTATTGAATTCAATTGTATGGAAGCAGAAAAAACGAAAGAAACAGAATAGCGAAAGTTTGAATTAAATCGAACCATTACTAAGAAAGTGATGAATGTTTGAAATATGAGATCACTAAATCTGTGTGAATCTGAAATTGGCAATTTGTTTAGTGGATAATGAGTTAGTCATGGCCAACTCTCTCACTTGTCATGTTCAAAAATATCATAAATTTCTGTTTTTCTCCTACGCACATCCTTTGGGGCACTATTTCAAAATAAATGTATAATAATGGATAAACAATTTTGAAATTGGGGCGTTTCCAATACCGGTCTTTACCTTTAAATAATATGATGTAATAAATGTTGGTACACAGGAATTGTGATGTAAACATGAAATGTTGAGTTAATATATTCAAATGTGTGAAAAATGTGTCTGCATATGATGTAGTGACTATTTTTTTTAATGTGGTTAGGCGAGTCAGTTCTTATCACAGCAATATAATTATGTTGTTAATATGCAATTTTGTTTATAGTTCAATTTCTTGGAAATTAAATTGTGGGGTGTGAATGCCTTCATTTGCCAATAGATAAAGCCATCGTTTTGCTTCAGTCAAAAATGATGACGTAGCTTAGATTAGGGAATAGGGAGTTTGAGAGTGTACATTCAGGTGGTAGCAATTTAGTGAAGTTTTTTCTTTATCTACTGTTCCACACACTTCTTACAACTTATACCCCCCTCCTCTCTCTCCATTATTTACCATTTTAATGCTGTAATTCCCCCTACTTTCTCTTTCCGTACTGATCCCTCTCTTTACTCTTTCTCTCATGTCCTTTTCTCTCATTTCCCCCTCTCTCTCTCTCTCTCTCCCTTTCCTCTCTCTCTCTCTCCCTTTCCTCTCTCTCTCTCTCTCTCTCTCTCTACACTTTTCCCTATTTTCTCCTCTTTCCTCTCCCCCATTCATCTACCTACAGAAAAAACTACTACCTCCATTTTTTCTTTGTTACAATTAATTCATTTCATTGTATTCCTTCTTTCTCTATTAAAAGACTTTTCCCTCCTTTTTCTCACCTTCTTCCTATCCTCCTTTCTCCCTCTCTTCCACCTCATTTTTCCTTCCCCCCCCCCCCCCCCATTTGTTGCCTCTCTCTCTATTTACATGTCTGATTACATTTTAGTACTGATCTTTTCCCTTCCCATATCTTTCAATCCTTCTCCTTTTCTCCCTTTCCAAGATATCTCCCTCTCACTTTGCATTTTCCTCTTTGTTTTCCTCCTTCTCTCTCTCACTTACTCCTCCTTTTCTCTCACTCACTTTCTCCTCCTTTTCTCTCCATTCCCCCCTCTTTCAATCCTCCCTTTCCCCATCTCCTACCCCACTGTCCATCTTGTAACTTGTCCTCTTTTGTCAAACTTCCTTCTGCTATGTATAATTATAAAAATGCAAACGTCGGTGTGAAACATTGATGTAATGTGTGATGTATTGTTTTACAGTAGTGTTGTTCATTCATATTTGACTGCAAAAATGTATCCAACTTCAGCTGAAATCATGTAATCAAGATTGTTTTTAATTTGAGTAAATAAATATTAATGAATATAATCTTTGCGTGCTATTGCATTTGTACAGTTTGAGAGGTGGATGGAGCTAAGCAAATAGTGAGATGTGTATTCTTTATGCTGTGTTGAAGGGGGGTAATCTGATATTTGTGCTCCGGCGACAGGCTTTTTTTCATTTGAGTATAGAGTTAGGGTTGCAATTAGGTTCAAAGTTGGGTTAGGGATTAGGATTAGATCTAGTGCTGGGTCCATGGTTGAATTCAGGAATCTGGCTCGTGTAGGACATCACTGCTGAGCAACCGTAGCAGGTGTTTTACAACCTTAAAGATACATATTAGTGGGCTCTTGGTGAGAATTCAACAGTGTTGTCAGTCATCAGGATTAGCCTTTAGTTTTGTAACCAAATTGCCTTATAATGCTCTGCATTTTCCACCATTCAGAAGTAACAGAGTCTCAAAATAGCCCTGTGCAATATCTCATCGATTAAACAATAATTGATGTTGAGGTGGAAATACTTGGGTTCCGGGTTCGCACTGCTAGTATCTTTTGGCAAGACGTTCATCTACATTTGCTCCTCCCCACCCAAGTTACAGTGGTAGGACATGAATGGTAATATGGTTGGATTGGCTCGAGTGCACTTGTAAAAAGCCTGGCCGAAATAATACCCAGGGAGCAGAGCGTGTACACTACCATGTGCAGATTAGCAAGTGAATCCAATGACTGGGATATTAATTACATTGTAAATTGCTATACAAATGTGGCTATATTAGTAAGATTAATGCATGAGAAAACCTTTTGACACACACACACACAATAATTTTGGCAGAACATCAGTTAGTTTACTTGATCTGTTTTTAATAAGAACATTTCACTGAGATGAAGAAAGCATTTACATGTACTTCACAAATGAAATACCTGAATACCAATAACTCGCAAGAAAATACTGGCATTTCCTAAATATTTATATAAAAAACACATTGTTACGTTATATTTATACATAATATTCACATATATGCATCATATTTACAGTACAAGCTCTTGACCGTCTCCATAATTAATGTATTTAGGAGGGGCATCTTCATTCCTGAATAAAAGCATCTATTAAAATAATTCTGAAAAGGTGAAAATACAGAAGTTTAGCGGGGGAGGGGGCCGGAGTCAAGAAAGAATGGTTTTATTAAATTGCAAGCATATTGAATGTAAACAGTTACACAAACTTTCACATAAATCTAATGGGAAATGTGCACTGGCTGTGTAATTGACAAAATAAAAATAGAATTATGTGAGTTGATCAGACTATAGTGTATTGTCATTCCAGATTTTTGTTATTCAAGATTTTGGCATTGCCCTATGATCCCTTCCAGCTCTTACAGTTTTGGAAGCAAAAAGGAAATTGGACAGAAACATGTTAAAAATAGTCTCTCATGTTGTTCTCTTTGTATCAAAAGATATACTTATATGTGCGAGATGTTTGGTATTCTATCCATGATTTCCTGTGAATCGTAGTGTAAATATCTACACGCAATGTAATAGCTTTAACAGCTTTACACTCCACACTAGGATCCTAGGTTCCACCCATTGGCTCCCATCCTATCAATCTCGGTGCTTAGCTCGGAGTCAGTGTGTGCGTAGACTGTAGCGTATACACAGTGCTACAATGTAATAGGTTTTACATGTGTAGTGCAGGATCTGCCTTTGTTAGAAATTACTCTCCAGGATGAAATCTAATGATTTTCTACCTCTCATTTGTTGAATGTTTAGCATTCTTTCACATAAAACTCTACATCAATTTTAAGAGCAGATCCATGTGTAATGAGTTTATCAAGACTTAGGAAATTTAAAACAATTCCAGGTTAAAAAAAAAACCCTGTGCAATCTTCATTTCAGCTACCATTTCAACAAATTATATGGACTGTTTCATTACATCAAAGTTACCTCATAACTAATTTCTACATGACTATTAAAATTACTTTAGAAATTACGTTAACAACATTATAGTAACCAACTGTCAATTTCAATGGCCAATTTCAAATGTCATTTTCTGCTGGTGTAAATATAAAATGATATTATTTTTAAACAACTTGTAAAGGTCCAACCAAAAATTCTTATATACCCGTACATACAAATACAAGAAAATATTAAACTTTCAAATTAGTAGAGAATACTTTTCACATTATTACATTTTACAGCCAGGAGTACAATTAAAAGAAATTTGGGGATAAACGCTCAAGAAAAGGGGCAGGAAGGGCAAATAAAAATATGATCTAAATCGTATCAAATTTACTTCATGCTGCCTCTTTGATGTATAGAATAAGCAGGAAATTTAGATTTAAAATGAAGTATTTATTGTCCATTCAGAAATTTGTTTTTCACTGATATAAGTTTATAGACCGATTCACAAACAGAACAAAATCATAATCATGTACAATTACAATAATGGTCGACTGTTATAATGCAAATGCAAAATACAATGGTGCGCTTAGAAACAACAGTATTAAGCGCCTATGGTAATAAATGTTGTGTATTATTATTATTATAAAATAGAGTTGATAACAGCTTTAAAGGGACTATGTCCCATTTGCAGGCCAAAAAAATGAAAAAGTTAAATTTCAACTGCATTTGAAAGATAATACTTATTTAGAACTTCCCTAAACTAGATGGAACTTCGACTGCGCGCAGTCGAAAATGATGCCTCCGTCATAGAGCAATTTTACAAACCAAAACAGAAGAAATTTTTCAAATTCAAGTTCAATTGTAATCCATTAAGAGGTTCTCAGAATATCGTGTTTACAAGCAATTTCTCATATACATATATGACCCTTTGATCTTTGACCTGATGACCCTAAAATCTACTCAGTTCATTGGCTCTGCAAGATGTCCTGAGTTAAATAGTAATCCATCTGTCAGTTCTAATGAGAATGCGTTCACAAGTTATTTTTGGATACATAATGAGCCCATGACCTTTGACCTCATGACCTCATGACCCATGAATCTACTCAGTTCATTGGCTCTGCAAGATACATACATGATCGAAATTTGGCAGGAATCCATCAATCTGTTCTAATGAGAATGCGATCACAAGCTATTTTTGCATACATAATGAGCCCTGTGACCTTTGACCTTTGACCTCGTGACCCCAAAATCTATTCAGTTCATCGGCTCTGCAAGATACATACATGACCAAAGTTTGGCAGGAATCCATCGATCGGTTCTTGAGATAATGCGATCACGAGCTCTTTTTGCATACCTAATGAGCCCTGTGACCTGTGACCTTGGACCTTGTGACCCCAAAATCTAATCAGTTCATCGGCTCTGCAAGATACATACAAGACCAAAGTTTGGCAGGAATCCATCAATCGGTTCTTCAGATAACGCGATCACGAGCTGTTTTTGCATACATAATGAGCCCTGTGACCTTTGACCTTTGACCTCGTGACTGCAAAATCTAATCAGTTCATCGGCTCTGCAAGTAACATACATGACCAAAGTTTGGCAGGAATCCATCAATCGGTTCTTCAGATAACGTGATCACGAGAACGGGACGTACGGACGGACGGACGTACGGACGTACGGACGTACGGACGTACGGACGGACGGACGGACAACCCGAAAACATAATGCCTCCGGCTACTTCGTAACGGAGGCATAAAAAGGTGGGGCTTGAAAATGTCTTCAAGTGGGAAAATAACGACTATTAGTTGTCAAATCGACTTTAGGGCTATAGAGCCCAAAAGTAATAGTCTTGATTTTCAGACTATTGTATTGAATGGTCATACGTTTTATGCTGCGCAAAGATTCAATCAGTTTAATCTTTGCCATCACAAGAAGTGGGTTATTGATGTAGACAAATACTCATGTACCCTTTACAACTCTTTTCATGTATGTTTTTACCAAAGAAGAAAGAAAGCCAGTCAGTCACTCAATAGTGTCGGACAGTGAAGTCTAGCAAGTGAACAGTTTTCCTTGCATAATTTGAATATGAGGACACTGCTAACATTTAAATTTCACAGATAGGACATACATGACATATTCATAATTCCTGCAAAGTTCTACAGCATTTGAGGTTGGCTGCAAAAGAGACATAGTACCTTTAAGTAGGAAGGTTACACAAAATCAGTTTTATATGACGAGGATGCCAACAGAGAGGTGGGTTGAAGTAGAACAATGGAAAAAAGGTAGAAGAGAAAGTAAGCCAAGAATAACAGGAAGTATGTAATGAAGGATCTTGATCATATCCTTACAACAGACATTTTGATAAAGCCATCACATAAAACCCATCATAAACAAATAAAACCCATCACAAACAAAAAAAACTGCTGCTAAAGAAAACATTGTTACTATAGGTCTGAGGCCATAATATTCACTATGAAAGGAATTGTGACAGAACTCAACTAAATCCCTCAGAAAAAGTTCTACTATTCAAGTTTGAGAATCTTGATGTTGGTATCATTGAAAAGCCTGTTCATTTCCCTTTACAATAATGCCCAGTTTACAATAATGCCCCGTTTGTAATGATAATTTAATCCCAGATTGTGCAGCACAACTGAATATGAGGCGAAGTCAAAAGAGAAATGTTTCAAAATGCATTTGTTATTCCTTCAAATCATCCTACCAAATTAAGAATTCCCTATTGACAATAAAAATGTCATTTCTGTAGAGGTGTTGTGGTCGAGTGGATATGTCACCAGACTATGGATCACAAGGTCCGCGGTTTGAGTCCCGCCACGGTGCTAATGTCCTTTGGCAAGACATTGATCTACATTTGCCACACTCAACCCAGGGGATGTAAATGGGTACCCGACAGGAATTTATTCCTTGAAATGCTAGAGCGCCATAATGGTAGCCATGCTAAAGCTGGGGTAATAATTGTGGAGCGCCAGGAGTGTTAAGGCTGACGGATATGAGCGTTATACAAGAACATAATATTATTATTATTTTGCAACATTTTATATTAAACTTGGTCCCAAATTCAGGTGTAAACAAATGGGGCATCATTGTAAAGGGGAATACACACGAACCAACATCAAGTATGAATACAGTAACAAGAGATATATCAACACTCAAACATGAATTGCAGAACTTTTTTGAGAAGTTTCTTACAATTCTTTTATTTCAATCTGATTAAGGGTGTTAAAATGTAGCACCTTAACATTTCCTTAGTATGCAGGATTGTGTATAATAAAAACAAAGTACATGTACATGTACTTCTTTGTTTCTAAGTGGTTTTTCTAATGTGTATGACTTTTTCTTGTAATTCTTTCTTTTCTATTTGAAGCGCATAGGGACATGCTATCCTGTAATGTGTTATGCGCTATAAAAGAACTGAGTATTATTATTATTATTATTATTTGATACTTTTATACCTTGATTTAAAGTACACAAGGTGCGTTTTACTAGATACAGAATCATAGAGATGCATAAAAAGATAGGTACACAAACAAAACATAAAAACATTTATTCTTAATCTGTTAGTTCCATCCGAATAAGATCTGGGGAAAGTATGTGTAACAGCAAAATCACATCATATTAAAAAGTCCTTTAACATAGGATTAAATCACATATAAATGCAAAGTTGATAGCAAATTTTGTGTAAAAATGACTGCTCACAACATGAAAAATGAGACAAAGCACAAACACCTTAACCCTCATCACTAACATGTTTTGGCAACTGTGGTCATGTGACTCATATCTGCTACCATCAATATGTAATTGACTGGATGAAATTGAATTTGAATGCAAACATGATTGCAAATGTTAGTGAACATGCACTTTACCCTGCATATTGAAGCAAGCACAAAAATACCCTCCTCTATAAGTATTAGCCCTATCAACGTCATCTTTTGGCAACCATAATCATATCTCTTTCAAAACGTAATTGATTAGAAATCAAATTTGAATGCACACATGATTGCAAGTTTAGCCTCATGAAGCAAGGGAAAATGTTCAGAGGTCAATGTTAACAACCAGAGTGTTATGGAAATCATGCCTGCTACCATCAATTTGTAGTTGATAAGAAGACATCAAATTTGAATGCCAACTTGATTGCAAATTTTAATCAAAATTAACTGTCCTCCTCATGGAACGGGATACAATGGTCAAATATTTCAAGTGTACCAATCACCAAAACACGTTTTGCTCTTGACGTTATACTCTTTAAAAATACAAGCTTCAATCATTAATTCTACAAAGAGATATTGCAGTTTAAATACACCCTCACTGAACATTAAACATCTTGAAGAGCATAAAATAGGGTGCACACTGAACCCAAATCGAGTTGACTTGGTTACTTGCGAGCCTTGTACATGGGATGTCATGTTATCCTTTATTTTATTCATACTCCTTAACATTTTACCTAAAGAATGCCAGGAAAAGGTTTTGGGGGTTAGTTTCATACATTCTAGCAACATGCATACCGGGTATACAAATTATATTTTCGGGTGATCGGTACGGTACACTACCATGAATGTTACATCGCATAAACGTCATTTCCTTAGGCAATCATGACCAAGTGGGCTGCTGCCAATGTGTAACTGACTGGATGAAATCAAATGTGAACGTAAACTTGATTGCAAATTTCAATTACAAAATAACTGTATGCCTCATGAAACGGGGGACAATTTACAAATACTCTCACAAGAAACAAGCCGCACCTGTGCCATGTTTTTTGCAATCCTGATCCTGTCTGCAACCATTAATGTGTAATTACTGGATGACATTTTATTTGAATGCAAACATGATTGCAAAATTCAATTTTGAATGTCTTTTGGCAGCACCTTCGGTGGTGGAGGTATGAAAATGATAGCCTCATGAAACAGGAAACCATGCACAAAGTCTACCCTAAGTTCAGCTATCTTGTCTATAGACCTTCCATCACTTGTAGCCAATTCAACGAAAGCAAACTCAAAAGTAAGGTTGTTGTTTTTTAGAAGAAAACCGTTCACCTCACAAAATGGAATTGACATGATCGCAAATCCCCTCCTTGATGTTACTTGTGTTGCAATCATCTTTGGAAAGGTTGTGTCTGCTACCGTTCCTGGACAAAGATACTTTCTTGGGGACTAAGTCCTGCGTCCGAGAGGCTGGTGCTTGAGTCTAAGGCAGAAAGTCGACGACGGGGATAAGTTGTGATGAGTTCGTACTTCTCCGCCTTAAAACCTTCCTTAGAAACGCATTTAATCAGTGCCTGGAATACAAAAAGAAAACAAGACCAAACTTATCAATGAAGCAGAAATACAATCTTGAATCATGACACCAACACAATACTAGTACATAAGAGAAAGGGGGAAATGAAATAGCTTCTTAGCCTCATTATTTCATACCCGACACAAATTTTTATTGAGAATTTGTAAAAGAGCACTCAGCGAGACAATCGTTTGCGGGTTTCATCAAGTAAACATTTAAGGCTGAATTTTTAAAGATTTCAAACCCATAATCTAACACAATAGTTGTGTAATTCCATTGGAAACTGAAATAGAAAGATGTAATTATTTCATTCTTTGGGTACGACATGCTGTAGTTATTGCCTTTACAAGTAGGACTGTATTGCAAGTCAATGCTGGCAATGCTCATGTTCTATAAATAGTAACACAAAATTGGAAATAAAATATTTAATGTAACTTAATTGTAGGGGCTTGCACCAAACAAGCATTGCTCCTTTAAAATGCCAATCCATGTCAATGTGTACATGTAGGTGAACAATATCATTTTCAGTTATTCAACCTGTCTAATAAGGTTATCCAAGGGGCACACAAAAGAGACCATTGCAGACAGATGGCCTTTATAAGGAGGTGGAACTCAAACAGGTTTAACCATATTTCTATTTTGTCTTCTATACAACTTATAACATTGTTTTTAAGTCAATTATTGCATTTAAATGCAGTTTATACTGGAAAAGAAATGAATTAGATTTTTTTTTTTAGAATTTAAATAAATATATATATCTATATATATATAAATATAGAAGTTGGAAAGGTTCAACTTTATTGGTAAGAGTTGTACAGTCTGTTTCACCTGAAGGCTCATAAGCAACTAAATAAATTTAATACAAGGCAATGTTAAATACACTCATGTGCAGTCAGGCAAGAATACAAAAGAGACACAATAATACCCAAGTAAGGGTGAACGCAAGAATACCATGGTGGAATTAAAGGTTTAAAGATATTAAGGTCATGTGGTAGGGGGGAGGAGGGAGGGGTTTAACCATATTCAGAGAGTAGAAACTTTCTCTTATGTTTACATGTGGAAATGAGTTCGGTTCTAGAGTTCGGTTCAAGAAAGTGTTGTGAAAACCTATCCTGTCTCACCTTAAGAGTTGCTGATGTTGATAGACAGACCTGTTTTCTTCTTCCATCGGGGAACCTTAACATGATTTCAGTAGTTGGCCCTGCAATAAAACACAATGAGGCATGATGTCTACGATTCACTTAAAGGTAATACAAAGTTTTGGTATGGGGTCATGAATTTGGTTCAAATGAACATATTGCAAGCATATGCGATCTTACAATATTCAGTGATCGTTGTCGCGGTTAAAATTGAGTCTAAAGTTATGAAATTATAAATAATTAACTCTTTATGCTGTATAGCTCCCTCTCAAGGTCAAGATATTAATTAAGCTATAAAACAATGTTTCTTGACTAAAATCGACCGACTAGCTAATCCCGTTTGAAAATTATATACCACAACTACATATTCTGAGATTTTCATGGTCGCACCTACTATTGTACGGCCGTAGGCGCTATTTGAAATTTATCAAAATTTACTGGGAGCACCAGTAAATTTTTTAATTCAATTTTACTCGAAAGTAAAAGTGTTTTAGGGGCTAAATTTTCTAGTGCTTATAATACATCCACAGGGGCATCCAAATATATCAAAATTGTAAAGAATCACTATCCACCCAATTTTCAAAATTTCCCAAAACTTTGTATTACCTTTAACTAGAGTATACTAAGTTTGCCTGATGAGATTCATTGACGATAACCCCTGTAGGAACTAGAAAGATGGGTTAAAGAACTTTTTTAAATATGGGATTATATCCAAAATCTGGTGAGTGCACTGTACTCTATGTTTTCATGTACAATGTATATATTTTGTTCTTGGACAGTGGTAAAAAAGGAAGTTAGCTGCACCCTTTTCATTCACAAAATGTAAATAAATGGAAATTAAGGAACAAATAATCCTGCCTACTGCACGATTTAAAAAAACAATAAAAGCGATTCTGACGGGTGACTAGGTTAGCCCTCCTCATCAATCTCCAAGATATACCTGAGGTTTCATCGGATTCATTATCCTCCCCTTTTGTGGCATCGTCGGCATCAGCCCCAGATAACCTTCCTGCATCGTCCTGCTTCTCCCCATCGATATCATCATCGACATCAACATTGACATCAACATTGACATCATTGCTGTCTATTATCTTTGGTTTGCTTTCCGAAGGTTCAGTTCTTGCCTTTTCTTCACATGAAAGTTCTCTCTTTCCCTCGCTTGTGATCGATCCATTTGATTTGGCTTCTTTCACATCTGTTCTCTCATTTATCACAGTGGTCTCGTCCTTCACGTCGTCATCTACATTGTGAACGACCTCTTCATGACCTTTGCAAGCGGCACTGACAATTACACTTGTCCTTTGAACAGCCCCGTTTGTTGCTTTAGTCTTAGAGGTCGTCCGATGCACTGCCTCACTCGAGGGCTCAGAGT